CTCTCTCACACACGGTGTTGCTAAACCACTAATCTATGTACATGCAAACTGAATATTCCCTTTGACCCTGTTCCCCAAGGCAGCTGCTTCTCTTCTTCTTCTTTGTTATTTTTTGCTAACCGGCGAAGAGAATTTTTATTTAGAGGGTCGGCCTTGGCGTAGGGATGCATTTTTATTTAGATGCTGCAACTTGAATATTAAAATATTAATTTTAGTAAGAGGTGGATTGAATTAATTTTATTTGATAATAATATAAAACTAAATTGGATGAGGTTATAACGACCTGATATTAATTTTAATTAATCCCAACCTAATTGCCATTTAATATCAAATATTAGGTAGTAATGAATACTATGTAATAGATGGAATTGTTTTTAACAAGCTAAGTATTAAAAATGTAATAACACTATTTTATGAATTGAATGAGAACTAATTATTCAATCTCTTCCTTTATTTGTACTTGAACTAAATATGCTCTATGGGTCGAATTGCAGAAACCATTGTTCTGTATACATATAAAATATAGGGTCAATTGTTTTTAATCTCTTGTGGTTTTGGTTAGAAATATCTTACCTTGATGTTTAAAATTATATATTTTCTCTCGTTATAGTTATGTACCAAAATGAAGTAATTAACGCCGTTAATGGAATTAAAAAATTACTATAATACTCACGTTTTAAAATTAAAATTTTCATCTGATTTACTCTTGACCATAAAATTAATGGAACATGACAACAAATCAACAAATTTCAATCAAACATGTCGAGTCTCTTTTCCCTCAATTGAAGTTTTTGTTCCGAGATCAAAAATCACTTATGTTTTTCTTACATGTTTTTTTTATCTATGATCGATATCCTATATATTTGGGTATTATTATACTATATATTATAAAGGTATTTGATATACTTTGACAATATTCTTTTGGAGAAAATAATAGAAATAAAAAAAGTCTACAACAAGTTTTGGATGTGTAGAGTATACTCTCTATTAACTTAGTTGATAAAAATAACCATTCACTTTAATGCATAATTATAAAAGGGTAATATGCACAATTTTAGATGTCAAATAGATATGATGCTTCTAAGGGATACATCTTCAGAGATTTTTTATGATTGTTCATCAACACAAAGACCATTGCATAATGTAACAGTTACAATTTTATAAGCTAGAAAAACACAGCCCAAAAAGAGTAATAAAAAGGGGAAATATAGACATCTCCATTATTGTAAGTAATAACCTTTGAAGAGGAAAACTAAAGTCTTCAAGGCTTATGGTGCTGAGTGTAAATGTAGTCCAAGTGAGCCTCTGCAAGAACCCTTCTCTTCAAGCACTCTTCATCTCCACTTTCACAATCTTCTATCCCCATGAGAGTCTAATAGCATCATTAAACCAGAAGAAGAGTTAGAACAAAAGAAACTCAAAATTTACAAGAAGCTATAGTAGAAATAGAAGATTACATTTAAATAGTTATTGCCTTCTATATGTACAAGCGAATCTCCGGTGGTTTTATTATTGAGCTTTGCCTCCTCTTTTCCTGCAGAACATTCAACACTACAGTTAGTTCAGAAAAGTAAAACATAAGACGAAGAAGACGAAGAAGAAGAGGAGGTTTGGTTACCATGATTTGTTTCAAGGATACGGGCAGATGCGTGTGAGGAGATAATAAGCAAAACAAAGAGAACAGCACAAGAATGGGAGTTTTGCTTCATCTCAGCTTCTGTGTGTGTGTGCGCGCGTGTGTTTGTGTGTGTGTGTGAGAGAGAGAGAGAGAGAGAGAGAGAGAGAGAGAGAGAGAGAGTAGGGCGTTGGAAGTTGGAGGTACTGGAGGGGACAGATGCCTGGTATAAATAAAACATGCAGAGAAGCGCAATGCTTTAAGTGATGCCCCAAACTACAATACATTATGAAATGGACCCAACCCACCATCATCTGATTGTACTCTTCATGCTCATGTGACAACAGTCACAACGCCAAGACTAATCAATCTGGTAAATCTGTGTGTGTATGAGAGAGAGAGAGAGAGAGAGAGAGAGAGAGGTGGGTTGCTTTAGTCATTGTCAAGGTAGTGGTCCAGGTAAAGTCCAAGAATTTCAAAAATCAATGTATAATAGTGGCTGACAGACTTAAGAAGTCAACCTTTTCGGACATGCAGACAACTGGTTCCATCATCACATGTTTTCACTTTGAGCAATATATATTTTTTTTAAAAATGTTAAATAGATTTAAAAAATTTGACTTAATAATTTAATCATTATCTTTAAATAAATAGTGAGTTTAAATAAATATTATGACATATAATTAAATTAATAATAAATATAACAATAACATCATTAAGTCTAATTTTTAAATCAAAATTTTAAATCTGTGTAATATTACTCTTTTTATTTAATAACTAACTTTGAGCAATGTTCTTGTACATAAAACATTGATTTAATTTGTTGAAACTTTTAACCTCTCATTATCTGTGTTAAAAGACTCTTCAAAAAAGATAATGTTACAAGAACTTTATTTAATGATATTATTTGTTGATCTTATTATTTTCTGTTATTAAATTGACTATTGACTTCACTATTAATTAGAATTCACTATTAATTCAAGACTATGATTCATCATCTCATCAGATAAGATCACTAAATTAGGTATAAAAAAAAACGTTTCCCTTTCAAAAATCAATTTCATTTTGTTCCTACATTTGAATTTAGTTTACTTGAAACGATTGGGTGCTACAATAAATGATAAATTATATTCAAGTCCCCTAACATTTGATTTTATTATACGAACACCCCTCACTTTTTAAAATTACATTGAGACCCCAATAGTTAAACGGAGTTAACCATCTTAATAAAAAAAACTATTTTACCCTTTATTTAACACAAACACAACCTAAACCCTAAACCCTAAACTCAATCCCTAACCCCAAACCCTAAACTCAATCCCTAATCTTCACCGTCATCTACACAGTACTCTCTCTCTCTCTCTCAAGGCGAGGATCTAGCTCGAAATCATCGGTCTCCTCTCTCTTCATCATTTCCACTGTTTGTGGGATTTCTTGTATAAGGTTGTGGCGAGCACGCCGAGGTAGCGGCTGATGGCGCTTTCATGGCGGAATAAGGTATCTCCGATGTCAAATTCAAGACCCATTTCAGTCTGGATTTCGGATTGGCACCTGGGTTTCGGTGTGGAAGTGATGTGTGAGGGATTATGGTGGAAAATGAAGGGTGCTTTGGGGTTTTTGGGGCCTGGGTTTACGATTTTGCGAAGGAAGGAGTAAGAGGATAAGGGCTTAGGAGAGAGACAAAACATGGCAAGAAGTATTTGGGTGGGCTTTTCTTTGTTTTGTTGTATATATATAACAGCCCGAAATTGCAAAAGAATTAGGAAAAATTGCTAGCCTTCCTCTACCACTGCAGCACCCACTAGTAGCCACCCTATCCAGTGGCGACTTATTTTTCTGTGAGATGGCCGATTTTTCGGAGCTCTTTGTAGAGCTCACCACCATAGGCATACTCCAAAATCAAGTAAATTCTCCATGGGCATACTCCAAAATCAGGTAAATTCTCTCTGAATCGTGAAACCAAGCTCACCACCATGTTTTTCTGTGTATATTGCAAGGATCATTGTTTTTGGGGCTTCTTTTCAGTTTGGGAAGGCATTTGCTGGGAATTGATTCGAAGCCATAGTTGAGGATTGGAAGTATGTGTGTGTGTGTGTGTGTGCGTGAGAGAGAGAAAGAGAGGAGGATGAGGACGAGGACGAAGAAGAGGACGAGGATGAGGACCAGGAAGTGGTGGTGGTTTCTGTGGTGTGGAGGCAGCGATGGGTATACAGACGGCTAGGGTTGGGTTGAATTTTGTGAGAGGGTAGTGAAGGGAATGTAGGAAGAAGATGACTAGGGTTTAGGATGTGGGGTTTATTAATTGTTTGGATTTTTTTTAATTTATTTATTTTGACTTATTCCAATAAAGGGGTGAGTTAGATAGGTTGGTTATGGGCATTGGTAAGTCTCAAGGATATATGAGGGTTAAAAATTTCTTTTTAATGAAATTGTTAACATCTGTCAGACAAAAGGGGTATTACTATCGCACGTGGTCAAATGTTAAGGGGTCTCAGTGTAATTTTTGAAACGTGAGAAGGTGTCCGTATAATAAAATCAAATGTCAGGAGTGTGAGTGTAATTTATCCTAAAATAAAATATTTTTCTGTGTGATTTCTATTAGTAAAAGTTAAAAGTATTGTGGCAAATCAAATCACACCCAAACGTGATATTTATATATCAAAAGCAAAGCCTTTTGAAACTATAAAGTCACCAACGAAATTGCAGCCTACATGTAAGCCACCAATATGAGTGGGATCAAACCTTAATCCACATGAGTATATCAACAATGTTCTCTTACCAAACATTCTCTCTCATCCTACCTTTTGTTTATTTACATGGTTATATTAGAAAATTATCCTACTTAAGTTTCTTTAACATTAGTGATGACTATATAATTTAGATATGCACAACTAATCATAGATCACCCAAAACTTAAATTTATAGTCTCGTAATGGTATATCACATGACATTTCATGTCAGTCGGATCTAGATCTTTTCAATTTACTCAATGATAAATTATCAACTGTGTAAGAATGAGACTCACATATAAATAATGGATTACACGCGAGTATATGATGAGTGATCTACCATTAAATTGAAAAAGTAATTGAGAGGATCTCAATTCATTTAAAAATGAAAACATAAGTCTTTGATTCAAGGGGCGATGCAACGTTCACAATAATGTAGTGCCTCTTTATTTTGTACAGGGGAAGAAGGAGTGACTCCTTACCATGGAACTACTTTCTCACCTCCACTTTTATCATACTGATCATATTATATTGAAGCTGAGAGATTATGCTTCTCTGTGGGAAGATTTCAATCTTTCTATGCTTGCTGAAAAAAAAACAAAAATGTAACAAAATAACCCTGTAGTTGGGTTGGAATATGTAAGGAGATAAATGTTTTTTATACTAGCAATGTTATTTGTATTTAATTTACTGCTCTTATGAATCACAAATATTGAATTGACGGTGGGTATTACCTTAAATTGAGAGCCGCTACCATCGGAATAGTTATGATGATGCATTAGGACAACAAATTAAGTTCAAATGACATTTATGTTTTATATTACAAAAAATCCATGAAGAATTGCACTGGAATATTGAGTGTGTTGTCTGCTAGTCTTGGACAAATCTGAATAGGAAAATATTGCTTAACCCATTTGGGAATATATAGATTTGAGACAGTGGCATTGGAACATGATACCAAATCTTATAATATATATTAGCAGATTCTTTATGGAAACACTCTTTTTTTTTAAAATATATAAACTAAAATTAAGCTTTGCTTGGTTTATATTTAAATATGAATGTTGCATAACATTCCTACCAATACTTCTTTGAAACTGAGTGGGCTTATGACGTGTTTTGTTCCACTCAGCAACTAGCATTAGACTGAGATTTGCTAAGTTTGTGGTATACACATCCTGATAAGTCCTTTGTTGTCCAATAGATATCAAGATTATCCATATTGCCCCGACTCATGTTGCCCTCTATCCATTAAACTGATAGACTTTGAGAATCAATCTCTAAACTGGAGGCAAACTATCAATTATACCTTGAAATCTTTTCCACTGAGTACGAGTATGATATGGGTTTTTCACATTTTCTCCACTTCTCTCTTTGCAATGAAGCCAGATCCCCACACCCTTTTTTGTTTTGGCTTACAGGAATTGCTTTAGCTTTATGCCTTTGCCAAAAGACTGTAAAATATATAAGAGAATCTCCACTTCTAACTCCAATGCAATGGCATCTCCATTATTGATTTTGCCCAGAAACAATTCCAAGTGCTTTTGATCCTTTTTGCCTTTTTTTTAGGACTTTGGATGCTGATTTTCTTTGCTTCTCCACTATGTAACCTATTATTTATGGCAATCATCCCAGCAAACAAAGTGCTCTGCAACATATGCCTCTTCCACTGCAGTCACTGTGCTTTTCCCAATTTCAAATTTGAGGTGGGGGCCCAAGAAATATATTGCTAGTTTGAATTTGGATATCGACCTCATCAAAATAAGGGCAAGATTGTCTATTATTGACCTCTATTGGGCCTTATAAAAAGTGAGAGACTAGTGTATTCCAGACACCCTTATGAAGTTAATTTGCTTCGACTATATTCGCACAATCATGCAGGATATGAGTATGATGCCCATTGAGGAACTGCTCAAGTTAGAACAAAAAAAGTTAGAATCAATTCTAACGTTTAGAGGATCGATTATTCACAAAAAATATTTGGAGGTCAAGTTACACCATTTTGGGAGCAATTACAGCATAATGGGTAAAGGGAAAAAAAACTTGGGTCCTTTGAAGACCAATCCATTTTTGTAGACTTAAGTTTACTCAAAAAACTTGTTTGGGAATAAGTCTATTTTGATCTTCGTTATCCAAAATACTCTAAACAATCATATTTAAACAAATATGTCATAAATTGAGAATTGTATTAGTATTAACAACTCCTAACTTGAGAATTGTGCTAATATTAAAATTATTTTTCTATTATATATATATAAACATTAAATAGTAACATACTCAACAAAAAAAATAAGAAAATCAAATAGTAATATGTTTAACAAAAAAATAGTAAGATCAAACCGTAACATGCTCAATAAAAAACTTA